ATAATAGATGTGCAGGGAAAACCAAATGTAGTTTTTGCAGCACTATAGTAAGGGTTGTTATGCTTAGCAAGTTGGATGCAGCAGAGAATCTGCCCCAGTGATTTCAGAAATCGATCATACTGGAGTAAAGTCACTATCAGATGCCACATTTTTCTGTTATGTGAGTTGTGATGTTATATACTAAACAAAGCAGGGTGCCATGGAACTGGTAGGGTGGTTCAGGGATCAATTCCTTACTTCACTGGGTCTATCAAGTGGATAAGGTGAATAGAATTTGGCACCAGATGTTATTTCAGTCAACAGCTGTGTAAAAGCAATCAACAGTTTTTATTTAAGAATTCTGTAGTGCTTTTCCTTGAGTATCCCAGCTACACATAATTAGCAAACGGGCAACTTTACATCTAGCACTAGCTTCTCAGCAGTAAAACGAGATAAATTGTTTTCGTTTTAGAGCTTGACTTTGAAGTCATTAATAAATATAATATTTGATTTTTCTGAGCTTTTGAGCACTTCATCAATTAGGTGACAAACTTGCTTTTGAATTTTAAAGATTCTGCTGGTTTAAATCAGTCCTGGAGATATTGATTAGAGTGGCTAAAATCTTGGCAAGCATTTGGCTCTTTACTTTGAGTATTGACTGTCCATAAAAAAGTCATCTATCATGCTTTTTTTAAAAATCTGGTTTGAAACAAAGCTCTGGGAACTTGTTCACTGCATAGTCCTCTGGTTGACTAAAATGTTCTTACAATACCAAAGATTTCACTTATTACAAGAGAGCTGGCGAGTGAGAACTGAAATATTAATCCTGTAAGTGTTATTTTAAAGCAGCTGTTATGATGATCTGAAATGGCACTGAAACACAGTGGGTATTTTTTATTCCTGTGAGTGATGAAGTCTTTACAGGAAACAGCCATATTTGCAGCTGGTACGATTGTACTGCTGTGGGCGATATCCTGTCCTTTCTTTTCTCTCAGAGAATTCCCTATACATCCTTGCTTCAAGCAAGCGTGACCATTATGCCCCAGAAAGAGGGCCTTTGACAGATTGCCATCAGTTCCCTTGTGGTAGGATCTTGCCTTCCTCACTGGATTGGATGCTGCATGAATTTCTAACCTCTCTACATTTGTTGGCTGGTGCTGCCTTTTCAGCATGTAGTTAATTCTGTGGCCTAGAGTAATTCAGTGGAATACATCAGGAATTATCTTGTCTTTTTGTAGTATTTTGGTGGCTTATTGTTTGTGGTCAATCTATTTTTAAATGTTAACAAATTGGTCTAGCAACAATTACTGAAATTCCACATTGAAAAACAGACGCCTCATTTATGGTAAATAGTGGTTGAAGTGTACTACACATAACATTTATATGCAAAATTAGAAAACACATATTGAATAAAATATATAGAAAAGGCCCTTTTTATTGGGCCAAATGTCCCCTATGTAAGAATAAACTGTATAGGGAATAGGAGCTCAGGTTTCTATCTCAGAGGATGAATTTCCACTTCTTACCATGCGGTAATGGAAGTGTTCTACGCAAAATAAACACATCTCAGGAGTCCTGCTGGAGTCTCACATGCAGGCCTGCCCATGGTTAACCACGTATTTATCATCTCTGGGATTTATTATTGCCACTCATTATATCTAATAGTGAAGCCACATACCCTGCAAAAGTTCTAGAGAATACAAAACTCAGAAATCAGGCTGCGTAGCAGCAAAGGTCACTGTGGGCACATCACCCACTGGCTCCCCATAGCATACAGGGAACAATTCAATGTATCTGTCTTGATATTCAATCATCCGTGCAACTGGCCTTAGCTACTTGAGACCTGACATGTACCTCCACAACCCTGGAACTTATGACAGCTAAATTTCACTGGAAATGAGAAACTATTGACCAATGGGAAGAGGCTCTAAAGTGCGGCAGACAGAACTTTCACAGGAGCTAGGCCTAGACTATGAAACTCACTTCCGCAAGATAGCAGCGTAACCCTGGACTTCACCACGTACAAGTAAATAAATGCAAACTCATTTATTTGACTTAGTTTTACCTCGGTCAGTTTTTACACATGCACGTACACAAGCCAAAAACCCTATAAAATAATCAAGCTGTTTATCATGTGAGTTTGAACAGAAGAGACAGAGAAAAATAGTTTTTATATTTAAATACTTGTGACGTGCTCTGATACTACAGCAGTTGGGCCATATAATCACCTGGAAAGGTGGATAGATTGGGGTGATATGTAGAACAGCTGTCCTCCCAGCCCAGCCAGTGTCTCACCTCTCCACATCCATAAAGCCCAATCTCAGGTGTATTTATGGTGTTACCTACAAAAAATGTTATTTTTACAGAATAATAATTATAAAATAAGTTTCATTTTAAATGTCTCTTTCAAACTGAATGATCCATATAATAAAAAAACCCTCCTGGGCTTATTTTAGTCAGCTGTTAATATGCTTTACTGGGTCACTGGACTCACTACACCTGAGGCGTTGTTAATGACATAATAATGCAAGCACCATTCTATCTTCATATCTGTGTGTCAGTATATTCATGTTTTCATATATTTACTACTTGGAAAGGACGTTTCCTTTTTTAACTCATTCTCTCGTCGTGCCGCTTTCTTCCCACTACCTAGCTCCTTCCTCCTCACACCTGGCCCTCACCCAAATGTCTCTTCTGCTTCCACAAGATTAAGTACTGGGTGTCAGAACTAGAGGTGGTTGGAATTTTTTTTTCCTGCCAAAAATAGCCAGGGGACAAGTTTCTCAGCATTTTCAGCAAAATTTTTTGACTTTTCTGCTAAAATCCAGAAAACAAAAAGTCGGCCAAAAACAAAAATTTTCAGGTTTTCTGTTTTCTGACCAAACCCCCCCCACACACACATTTTGATGGCACATTTTCACCCAGCCATAGTCAGAACATTGCTGAACTCGCCTGTATAGCAACACCTCTCTGCAAAAGTCCACCTCTGCATTTCTTTGGTACTTTTTGCCAAATGGCAGTATTAGAAGCTTGCTTCTATTCATTAGAGGCTTGCAGTGATATGCTATCGCAAAGGCCCAGATCCTCAAGGATGTCGAGGCACCTTACTCCTATTGAAATACCTTTTGAGGATCTGGGCCAAACTGACTTACTCAAGGCTACACAGTGTGTCAATGGCACAAACAGGAGTTTCTGGTTTCCATCCCCTCCCCTTAGGTAGCTTGTTCTACTGGACTCTCTTCCATTTTTCTCCAGGTTGGGAGATGCCATAGTAATAAGATGAGCAGTGTTAATAAAAATAATAATCTCGACAAGGGGCTGATAGAGTATCAAAGACATGATCAGATTTTCGACTATACTCCTGTTGGTCAGTGTGAACTCTCCCAGGGCCTAGTCACAAGTCCAAGTTAAATGGCAGGAAGGGACGTGCAAGCCTTTTACCGAAATGTGCTGGTTCCATTCTGGGCTAACTGATCCTGGGAACAGTTGGCCCCCGGAACCGAGGGGACCCATTTATTCTATGTGTCTAGGTCTCACAGAACTAGTTGTAGGAACGAGGTGTTTCTGTAGCTCCCGAAGCATCCCTCCATAGATCCTCACATGCACATTCACACTCTCTCATTCCCTTCCACGTAGTTGGGTTGCAGACTTTTCTACAGCCCTGTGATAGCCTCGTAACACCTCTGCTACTCCTGCTGAGGCATGAAGGAAAGGACCGAATCTCCTGACCTCAGTCCCCAGAGCCACAATGGTCATATATAAGAAGTCATTAGCCATAGACTCTGCACCTGGTGGGACTCAGACTGAGCTACTGGGCCACCACCTGTGAAGTGGTGTCCTTCAGAATGTGTTAGCCACTGCAAAGTCCGGCCGGACCACAAAGCTGGGCCAAACTATGAGATGTCAACGCACTGGGTGGGGCTGGTTCTTTAGCCACTAGAGCCCCCACTTATTATAGTGATACCAAAGTAATGAACATGAACCTTAACAGATCTTTGAGAGAAGCGACAATTTGCCTTTTTTTTTGGTCCTTGTTCTGAAACTAATGTTCTGCTCTGAATGTGACTCTAAGGATTCAATTTTCTTTAAGACAGGCCTAAAATGGACAAAAATCACTAAACAGTCTCCAAGAAAGCTTTAAGCCTTCTTTACTTTGAGGATTGTCTGTCCCTGGTAACATTCATCCCTCCCTATTTTAATTTGTAATGATAAATGTCCTTGCAATAATAAACTCATAATAGATGCTTGTTTATCTCTTCAAGGCCTGTCCTTGCTGCTTTCATTAGCATTTCAGGATATTTATAACTTTGTGAATGACTGAAAATCTGCAATTTGTCATCAGGGATTAAGAAACATCCTTCTCTCACTTGGGGCAGAAGCTGAGCTTTGGCCTTGGAGAGACGGAACCACCTCTGGGCTTCTTAGACAAAAACAAAGCCAGACAGTGCCCAGATTTACTGCAGCAAGTGGCTCTTCGCTACTCAGATGTCTTTGCTAATGTGTCATCTGCTGTTGCTGGTAGGGTTCAATGTTTAGAACTGAACTATCTGTAGGGACCATAAAATCCTCTGTTGTGCAGGAGCAAGAAAGAATAGGGTGGAGACTGGGAGGAGAAGGGAGAGGAATGTAAGTGTTTCCATTTCCCAGTTCAAACAAAAATAACAGCGTTTAAAAGTAAAATTGGAATTTTTTTCACACACACACACACACACAAATGTGTCCGTTCAAGGAAATATTATATTTCAATTTGTCATTGTGGTTCTGCTGCACTGAGTCGCTCTCAACTTCAGAGCACACGAAGCCAACAGAATCTTGAAGGCTCAAAAGGCAAGTTTATCACCTACTTGATGAAGGATGAAGTACTCAGACGCTTAAAAAATAAAAACAATCAAAGGAGCTTTTCACGAGCTAAGCCACTCTAGGGAAAATCAAAGGGGGGGACGTTAATTGGTTTGTGCAGTGTGATATTTTCAGCTTTGAAAAAATTCAGCCATTCAGTGATACTTTCTTTCTTTCTGCAGGTTGACGAAGTGAAAAAACTAAGAAACTGCTTTCAAGCATTGAAGATACCAGGCCAGGATGAACACGAAGGACACAAAAGTGACTGAAGGAGGTCTCAATGTCACACTTACCATACGTCTTCTCATGCACGGCAAGGTGATGCACTTAACACTGTAACGGCGGTTGTCTTTTTTTTATTTATCTAGGTGTCTGTAGTTGCATTAAAGTCTGATAGTTACATTTACAGAGGCCCTGGTCCTGCTTGAATTTAAGTCAAGAGCAAAATTCCATTGACTCAAGGCCCAAAGACCTGTCCCTGATTCAGCAATGTGATACCGCTCATGCTGAACTTAATGTAAGGGGACTGTTGCCCCTTACTAACATTCAGTGGGGGTGTTTTGGTTGGCTAGCTCCCAGCACTAAAAGGGGAAGGATCGATGGGAAATCAGGACCCTGAGACTGACAGTCCCCAGGAACAATGGCGAGAGGCCAATGCTCCAGGTCAGCCTGATTAACAGGGCGGGCAGGCCAATCAGCATGACAGGAGGCCAGGGTGGGTCCCGTCCGCCGTGTGAGTTGGAATTGCCTGGGTCAGACTGAGTGGGGCCGAGCTAAGGAGAAAGCAGGGGCCCAAGCTGAGCTGGAGAGCAGAACCGTGCCAGATCCAGAGGGGCCAGAGGCGCAGCCACAGAGCCAGAGACGCAGCCCAGGGAGAGCAGATCCTGTGC